CCCCCGCGCCCCCTCCCCGCGCTCACGCGCTCCGGCCCCGCCCCGGCCCGGCGGAAGCGGCGCCGCGCGGGGGCTGCCGGGAGTTGTAGTTCCGAGGGGTCCGGAGGGCACCGGGGAGGCCAGAGACGGGACCCCCGCGACCCCCCGCACCGCCCCGACCCCCTGAACCTCAAATACCCACGGGCACCCCCCTGCACCCCAGGTAGCCGTGTGCGCCCCGCTCCACGAATGACCATGAGCACCCACGCACCCCCCAAAATCCATCTGCACCTCCCTCCACTGCCCCCTGCACCCCAAATATCCACGTGCACTCCTCTGCACCCCAAATATCCTGTGCATCTCCATCAACTCCCTCCTGCGCCCCGGATATCCATGTGCACCCCACTGCACCCCACATATCCCGTGCACCCCTCTGCACCACTCCCTGCACCCCAAATGCCCCTGTGCGCGCCTATGCACCCCAAATATCCATGTGCGCCCCCACGAGCCACCCCCTGCACCCCAAAGCCTCATGCACGCCCTCCTGCACGCCCACACCCTCCCTCTGCACCCCAAATCCCCATCCTCCAACCCTGCACCCCAAACACCCCCACAGCCCCTCTTTGCACCCCAAAACTACCCTCCACCCCTCCCACTGCCCACAACACCCCTGGCCTGGCTCCCTCTTGGCCCTACACCCCCAGTCCCCCCCCCCAAGTGCCTCCCAGCACCCCAAATTCTCCTGCACACCCCCAAAGTTTCAGGGTGCCCCCCCCAAATTCCAGGGATGCTCCAGGGCGTGAAGCTGGGAGCATCCTCCTGCCTGGGAGCACACGGGGGACCGGGAGGGGCTGGTGGGGGGCAGAGTGGGGAGGGGGCAGTGTTGGGGGGCAGAGCACCCAGAAACAGCTGTGCCCTCACCCCCGCACGGGGCAGCGCGGGGGTTAAGTGGAGGAGGCTGCAGGGAAGAGGAAATCTCGGCAGGAACAAGGACAGGGGAAGGCCAAGGGCAGCGGCCGGAGGCGCAGCCGGAACGTGCCGGAAGGTGTCGGAGCCTTGGCCGTGGGATCGGGACGTGCTGGAACCCCAGGGTGGAACTGGGACCTACTGGGACCTGCGGTGTGGAACTGGGACGTGACGGAGCCCCAGGGTGGGACTGGGACATACCAGGACCCTGGGCGTGGAATCAGGATGTGCTGAGACCCTTGGAGGGGAACTGGGACGTACTGGGACCCCTGGTGTGGAACTGGGACATACTGGGACCCCCGGTGTGGAACTGGGACGCACTGGGACCCCCGGTGTGGAACTGGGACGTACAGGGAGCACCGGCGGACGCGGGGCAGGAAGTGCCCGGGATGGAGAAGGCAAGT